TAGGCCTAGTCATTGGCAGAACAAAAGGTTACCCAGAGAGTTAGCCCCATCCCTGGAGGTGTTCGAGGTCAGGCTTGATAGAGCCCTGAGCAATGTGACCTAGTTAGAGATATCCCCGCTTAGTGTAGGGGGTTGGACTAGATGGCCTTTAGAGGTCCCTTCCAACTCAATACATGCTATGATTCTATCTTTTGGAAACTTTATTTTTTAGGGATACCAAAAAATACTGAAAGAGATTTTTGAAGAAGCAGGACTTCTAAAAGCAACAGAAGAAAAGGAAGTTGAGACACAGAATGAGAAAATAAGTCTGGAATTTGAAACAGTGGAGAAGTGCAGTAAGGTATAGAGCACAGTATTTATAATGTGGAATTAAATTGCCACCTTTTTACTGTATGACAGGATTATGTAAATACTTTCTGGATTCAGCTGAAATCTGTTCATGTGATTATCTTTTCTGGTTTCAATATGTAACAGTCTATATACAGAGTGATTTGATATCTTTATTCCAGCCCTTAAGTCAAAAATAAACCAGCACAACTGAATTCCCAATAAGCTGTGTGTGTGTGTATGCAGGATTTAGTGTATATATTTTTATAAAACTTGCACCTTGTTCTTGGAATAAGCAGTTTAAAACCTTTTAAGTCAAAAGCTGTAACAGCTGTGCACATACCCATTATCTTTTGTAAGCTCTATTTTATATATACATTTGGATAGTGGGAGAGCCATCTTAAATATATTTTCTTTTTAGGAATACAACCAACTTTCTAAAGAAATAAAGAAACTTAAAGATTTGCTAAGTCAGCATGGTATTGCATACAAAGGAAATGCTGGTGAGTTTTTTGGTGTTGTTCCTTTTTGTAATTGTCTATTCAAAATGTGAATACCCAAACGTTGTTTTGCTTACAGCAAAGATTAAACAGTCCGTCATATACGGAGGTAGAATTCAGGAGACAGTGGATTTTTTATAAATACTCATGTCTTGATTCCAACACAAGAGGACTTACTTTGCCTGCTCCCAAAATCTGTTGATGACTTGAAAGTTTAGCTTTATAGAAAATAGACTGCTGTTGTAATTGAAGCTTGTCTCTAGTACTTCAGGTGCCAAACAAAAAGGAAATCGGTGTTACAGCATTCATAGCACAGAAGAATCTTTTAAGTAACTCTACTTTCTGCATAGTCAACCAGAAGGCCTGATTTCTTCAAGATCATTTAAAATACTCTGTATGTTTGAATTGTTTTTTCCTTTCTTAGTCACCTTTTTTTCCTCTCTTTGATTAGGTAAGTAGCATATCACATGCAGTTTATAGAAGGAGGGACTTTAGTATTGGCTATGAAGAAGCAAGGCTCATCTGGATTAATTTCAGACAAGTTGCTTTATGGTTTTGTTTTGGGGTTTGTCATTCTGCCCCATTCCTTCCAGTCTGTTGTGTCCATTATTACATGAACTATTTGTCTAAGGAGGATTTAATTTCTTTGAATATACATTGACACCTTTAAGAATTGGCACCTCAAGAAAACAGCCTTTGAGCTAATTAAATTAACTTAAAATTAGGGACACATTTTTTTTCTTCTTTATGTTTTGAGAAGATTTTTCCTGCTTTTTTAAATGGGTGGCTTTCTTTTCTAGGGAAAATTCATATTAGAATTTTTGTAAAATATTTTACCTGCATGTTTAAGCTATTAACTATGTAACTTGAACAGTATTTCTGTGTGTTTGGTAATTCCCCTAATTAGTGCAGATTGGAGCTGCAATATCAAAAGCAGAAGTCACAGCTTACTTTGGATGACTTATTTAAAAACTGTTTAGTGAATTCTGTGACTAAAATGTTTTGGTGCTTAGAAGCAGAAGTAACTGATGCCTTTAAATATTACAGCTGAAAATACCAGTGTTGAACATGTAAGTCACAAACTGGCAACTGCAGTGACAACTTTTCTCAATGGATCAAAGGATGATGAGCACTTGCATGGCGATACAGGAATTTGGAATGACACTGTATGAAGGCACTTGGGTGGTAAAGAGCAAGTTCATGCGGAATGTCAAGCAAGTTGAATGTGTGTTATGGCACTAAGATGATTTACTTCTGCAAGCGTTCTTGACTGTCTGAATTTCTGCCCAAAAGCAAGGGGAACATAATGGATTGAGGGTTCACTACTACTTAGAACAGTGGACTAGTTTCTGAGAGCATTTGTAAAACTTCTTTGCTAACTTTGCCCCAAATCTGGGTTCTTTACCCAGTGTGCAGAGAGCCAGAAGACGTGCAGGGTCAAGGTATTTCTTACAGAGTGGTGTAAAGCCAAGAGCCAGGCGATGTTCCATGAAGCTAGCTCAGGTCTGTACACAAACTGGTTTATTTATCCTGTTAGATAATTACAGAAATCCACCCAAGTTTACACTTACTGGTTAGTGAGTGATTAGTGTTAATTTGTTACTGTCTAGTTGTGTTTAAATCTGTGTACATGCTCTTGGAGGGTGTGGAAGGGTGGAGTCTTCTTGGTCTCTGACTGCGTCGGCAGTCATGTTTTGCCCATATTGCTTTTACCTTTCCCTGAGTTTTGCTGTTTGGCTTAGGCCAGTTCTCTTGGCACTCTTCTAATCTTGTGCCTTCATTGGAACAGGATGTTCTTTGTTAGTTCCTTCTTATCTTGTCTCTTGAGCTTAGCAGCTGAAAGAGAACCATCATATCTAAGCCAGATTTCTAAAATCAATAATTATTTGCACTATTTATAATTTTCTCATCTATTTTCCAGGCTTTTCAGACATCACTAAAGGAAATATTTGGCACCAGTTTACAGATTGTGTCCCCAGTCCCAGCTTTGTTATTTTCTTTGATCAGGCATGGTTACTTGTGGTATAAATACAAGATAGTTCAAATCAATGCTGTCAGATGTTGTATGAAATGCAGTAAGTATGATATTAAACATGCTTTTTCATGTGTATGCTAAAATGCGTTCTGTTCAGACGTCAGCAGAAAAAGAAACGTTTTGTGCCGCAGCAGTGTGTAACACGCCACTGCCCCACCAGTGTCCGGAGGTTGGCGCCATCCTTGGACAGCGGGTGGGTAAACTGAAAACCGTTCAGGATCTGGTGGAAGGGTGCTGTGAGAACACCGGACTTACGAAAGAAGAGTTGCGTTACTGCGTTACGAGATTGCGGGGCCGCTCTCTGTATGCAGTGTGGAATAAAACGCGCTTTTCCAGCACAAGCTGTGGAAACGTCGCTGTGGGAGACGGTGGACGCCGCGCACGGCGTTTCCGGTAGTTCTTCCTCCCGCCGCGCTCCG